TGAAGCCGGTTTTCGTTTGTGGTGAACATTTTGCGGCGTTACACGCATTGGGTTTGCGGCGTTTCTGCAAAAAAACCTACCATCATCATCGGTTTCTTAGTGAACATATGAACGGGTTTCTTCGCTACTCAGTTCTCCTTCGAATCGTCGCTTTTACATTGTTCTAAGCAGAACCGAATTCAGGGTGATATACCCGGCTATCTAATGACGTCATTCGCTAATTGGTCATCAAAACCTGGTGAGTGACCATCTACTGAATGTTCTTTTTCCTTTTCTTGATTTTATACTTTTTGCCTAACTATTATGGGAACGGCAACCGAATCACTATCAGGCCTAAGCCTACTCTTGGTTTCAAGCAGTGCTGGATGTCTCTAAATGTGATAAAACTAATCTTTCACTGAATATCGATACCCATAGGGCAGTGGTTAGAGGCGCCGTTCTTCATCAACACCTCTCTTATCAACCTCTTCAACTAAACAGCTCAAAGGGATAAGACCTAATGGAAAAATTTAACCTTTAATTTGATTCTTTCTTCACCGCAATCAATTGCACGGATCAATTACACATTCAAGTGCCATTGCGACTCAAACTAGCTCTCGGATACATGGCGCATTCTTGAAGAATCCACTGAGCCCTGCTCTCGTTCTATCTATTCTACCACACTTCTTATTCGGTTATTATGAATGAGCTAAAAATAAACTGAGTCTCACATAAGGGTCAAGTATAAACTGAATGGCAACGCTTTCAGGTTGCGCCGTGCAATCTACACTCATTTAAATTCCCAGATTTAGTCAAATGCTATAAAGGCGACAGCTCATTGACTTATGAGATAATATGTTTACATCAATGTCCAATTCTCACAAGACCGATCAATTTCAGTTAATTCAAACAATTAATTCGATCAGTCAATCTGCATTTGTTTTCAATTTCTCATCTCATGCTGAATTCTCTAGCGACAGCGTGTGGAGACAAATCGGGTTTTTGGTGGCTGAGCCTGCAAGGGAGCGAAGGAATGATTCGGGAACGAGAATGCTTTCCCTTACGATGAGATCTGGTATCGGGTGACCCATACGGAGTTGTAAGAACCAGACAGCCTGATTTAGTTACCCCCGCAAGCTTTGCGATTGAGAAATATGTATGTAGCGTCTCTAGCAGACCTTCCGAAGTCTTTTTCGATGTTATGCCACTGCTGCTGGACTGGTTTTTCCGGGGTAAAGTATGTATATTGCATTCCTTTCGGCATATTGTATGTACTTATTATATTATTTCTATATATAATTAATTCTTAGGCTTATTTTATAGGTGTAGTCCAAACAGAACCCAACCTGCTCTATTCATAGCTGAGTCTAAGCTTAGCTGAGCTACGCAAAACTAAGGCTGGGGAAAAGTTTTCTAAGGTCAGTAGTGCCTGGGCAACCATGAGCAGCAAACCGGAAAATGTCTACTCATTTCGTCAGGAAAGAGGAGGAAACAAAGATTTTAGGAAGGAATGTAATAGTTCAGGACATGCTATTTTGAGAAAAAGAAGCCCCACACATGACTAAAGTGTTCCAAATCAGTGTTCCATTCAATCTTCACAATCTTCACTTTTTTTACAATGGATAGATAACTCGTTCCTTAGCCTGATCCCGAGCGCTCGAGCCCGGGGAATTGAAGAGGGGACGGGTAGCAGGAACGGTTTTGTATAACCGATCCGCCGCATGCGGCTGTCTGGGACCATTTGCCTCGTTATAACAGTTCTAACGTTATTCATACAGCTCAATCGCTATGCGATTATTACTTTTGACATAGATCTGCTGTTAGTTCTTTTGTTCCTGAACTTCTTACTTGCTGCTGCATTCTGCTACATTCCTTCGCACGCGACGTCTCTCGCCGCGACGCGACTATTTTGTTCCTACTGCACCACACTGTTTTGTGTTAGTTGTGTTTTGTGTTTAGTTCCACACCCTAACAAGGCTCATTGAAGTATCGCGAGAGTACAAAATGCCGCTATGTCTTACGTTTATCGACTTGAAGAAAGCCTTTGACACCGCTGAGACAGAAGCGGTAATTGAAGCCCTGGGCAACCAGGGTGTTCCTACGCAATATATAAGGATGCTTCGTGAGCTCTACGACAGTTTCACGACCAGGATTTCACCATTCTATAAGGAAGTCATCGTCAACGTGAAGNGGAATCCGGAGTTCCGAGCTCCGTCACCGAACGAAGATCAGGGATGCCGTTGATTACGCCAAGAAATCGAAGATCAGGTGGGCCGGACACGTTATGCGATATAGTGATGACCGTTGGACCAGGGCGGTTACTGACTGGATCCCTCGGGACATCAAACGAACACCAGGAAGGCCGCCGACGAGATGGTCAGACTTCTTCACGAAAGCTCTGAACGAAAGGAATGTTGAACCTCGTGTCCCTGAAGCGAGAACGGTTCACTGGACCACTTTGGCTCGTGACAGGGACGAATGGAGACGTTACTGGCGCCCGCTCGAGGATTTCGATGATCAACGGGACGACAGGTGATACAGGTGATACTGCACCACACGCGAATTAGAGGATTTAGTACAAAGAATTCTTCACTTGCACGCTCTTTTCTCGTGCTGGATGATCTCCCTGATTATCCCTCACTTTGTGAGTGTGGCAGTGAATCTTATGGAAGAATTGTGCTGAATTGTGAAGTGGAACGGTAGGAAAAATGAGGAAACCGTAATTTGAATTTATGAGCGGAGTCTCCAAAAAGGTATGATTGATTCGTCCCATCTTTGAGACCTGTTGTTTGAGACTAATATTTGTTCTTACACTTCTACACTTACCTTTCAGCTTTTTTGAAAACATCCAAAACTGACTACCAGTTTGGTGAAGGTTAGGGTTGGTTTGAAGTTACCAACACACAATAAACTCCAGAATGTTATATTTACCGGTGATCATGGGCTTTAGAAAATTTGATGTTTGGGGATCTCGAAGTTATTCGGAGAAATAATCTTCATTGGATTTGAAAAACTCTAGTCACTCATATCTAGGTATTCATGTATTCCTATACATAAAAGGATAAAGGATAAAGTTTTTGGCGTTAATCAATCCCGTCTGAGGGATGCGCCCCCGCACTCGACTTCCATTCAGAAGCGTAGTGGTGTGATGAGTGCGTATGTGGCCTATACAATGACTTGCTATTGCCAGCCAATATACAAGTCACTGCTTTTATCCGCGCAGACGAGTCTGGTACCAATTCACTGACCCCGGAGGGAAGAAAGGCTCGGTTGGCTTGAGCGTGCATCGATCCGGGATTCGAACCCCTGACCGTGCGTGTGATATAGTGCGCCACTTGCTACTACACCACCTCCGTCCACTACTCTAAGTACCCCACTCTAACCTTTCCCACTCCCATACCATCCACGCGGTTCCACAACTTGATCAGCGTTTGGAAACACTTACATCCGTATTCATTTCATCTTGAATGGCCACTGCGACCTAGTATCCTTCCCTTGTAAGTCTCATTCCCACCCACGGTTCAATTGTTGTGTTTGATCCGCCGTTGAACAATCGAGCAGAACGGTTGAAGCATTAGGAATTTGTAATACAATTTGCTTAATATTTATTTGATTATCCTGGTTGTTTATTTTGCTTATATATTATTTATTCAGCTAATCAATTATTTAGTGAATTACTTCCAGAGCTTCCATTTTCGATTTATTGGACGTTTTCGTTTGGAGCGCTTAGTTCCATACGATTAATGTCTGCTCATCCGTAATCGGGTGATTTGTTTGCACCGGAATAATCCTCCATTGTAATCGTCCCCAATAGTGGTCACCCATTCATTTCACGTTCACAAAAATCTGAAAGGGCCAAATGTGGGCGCATAATTTTCAATGGATGGCTTTAATTTGAGCCCCACTTCGTTTGAGAGTCCAGTAAAAAAAACCCGGTTGGACCGACTCAGGAGAACTTTTCAACAACAATGATACTCTGTTGGATGGACACTTTACATAAACTAAAATCAAACGCAGCCAACAGATGTCTAGCTTTCACCCTTCATTATAGATGGGTGCACCCTTGCAACACCTTGGATTACCGTTTTCGAAGTTCAACGGGACTTTGAGATCAGAGATTCATGGTCTCGTATAGGAGCGGCCAAAGAGCCTGCGATAAAAGCCCTCGGGAGCAGAGTCATAAATTCAATCTACATTTTTCGCAACGAGAGTGTCGTAGATATAATAGATGTGTGTTTATTTTCGTGCAGCGACGTTCGACGAGGACTTCATCACAAATCAGGCCATATGCTAGATGACCAGGGAAAATACAAGAGCAATGATCACAAAGACTGCAAGTTTCGATGACCACTTACCCTCAAAAAGAAAAGGACCGGCAAAAGCCCAGAGAGAATTTCCCTATGCGGGTGATAACATCTTTTGTTGGAACTTGGATGAATGTGGGACTATGCGAAGGATGGGAATCTTATTGGAACATCCATTTTTTTCAATCAATTTTCCTCGACAAAATGCCTTTAATCGAACCAAAAGCCCCTGGTGACACTTTCCTGCTAGGGTGGGACTAGCGTATCAAAAAAGTGAGGGCACAGTGGCAGGGGCCAAAAGATCCGTATCAGATCACATTAACCAGAACTTTACACGTTCCTTAGTAGTGATAAACTCTCATCAAACTCATCTGGGAAGTAGGATTGAGGGATACCCATCGAGAGGTTCATGTTCATCGCTTTATGGCCATCGAACACCTTTTTCAAACGAGTTGGATGTCGAATGCATGACGCATTCTGGAGGGACTCGAAAATTCTTCCTTTCTAGCGCTATGGGTAGCTCAACAGTGCCGAGACAGCCAGGAATCTTTCACCACTACCAGTCGAAGGCTATTTATGTCGATAACTGGTTGCTTTGTTTTTTTTGATGGGTGAACAGATAGCGGATTGCAATCTCCTCATTTGGGAAAAACCTGAGCCATTAAAGCGCAAAATGTTCTGAAATTCTCTAGCAGGAGCCTATGAGAGACCCCAACCCAGACCCTCCAGGTTTTGAAATTGCCTTTTTCAGAGATGGAGAGCATAAAAAAGTTTTTCCGCACAATTATACGTGGAGAAGACGTGGACTATGCGCAATTTGAGTCCAAGTGAGTTCATTCCCAGTTTTTTTTAGAAATTCAAAAAAATTATACTTGTCCTCCCAATTCTTAGCCATAAGAGGAGAAATATGATAGTATTGTGTTTGTTGATTCCTAATAATAAGGCAGGGATAACAAGAAAACAATATGGGTAAACAAGCCAAACCAGTATTGAGTTGAGAGGCTACGAGGGATCTGAAACCGCCCAACCGTTCAAGCTTTCCATTCCACTAAAACTGTTCAATCAGTACTATCCTCCTTCAGAAGGGTTAAAATACTGTAACAAACTCGAAGTCTACTTCAATTTGCAATAAAAACTTATGTTTGGTGCATCCCAGAAAGCCACGTTCAATCCTAAAGACTTCATTCTTTGAGCTTTCCCAAAGGCCAAAAAACAATACAATGAAAGATGCATAATCTCGTCCACTTCATAGTAAACAGTAACAAGAACTCGACCTCAACCACCATAACCACATAGCCTTCACTGGATTAGAATGACAACCCCTCATTCCAGAAGATATCAGGCCCTAGAGTTCCATTTGACGCCTCCGAATCTCTTCAATCGCTTCAATAAGCTACAACAAAGACAGAAAAGCCACACCTCAAAAAAACTTTCTGCAAATCCCATAAGTCTCCCATTAATTCAGTGCTTATTCTTCAGGATGGATGGCACCGACATTGTAACCTTTCGAGAAAACGACAAAGCTTTTCGATTATTTGGAACCAATGTTCATGTAAAGGTGAGAACTATTCCTCACTATTCCGCTGGGTAGGATTAATTATGGATCGCTCTTCGGGCAGATTCATCTCAAAAGCAGGCCTTTGTTGTTTTCTGTTATTGTACTGACAAGGAGCAGGGACAAAATCCGATATGCGATAGTCAAAAATAACTATGACATCCCATAAGTCTTAAAATGCGGCAGCCGAGCAAAGCGGCTGGCTGTTCAATGGCTGCTTTCATAGTCCGCGATATGGCCCGCGAGCGACCGGGGGACTACTCGGCTGGCGGTATCGACCGAGATTCAGTTGCGAACAAGGGCACGCGCCGCCTCCGGTTTCTTGCTCGCTCGCGGGCCAAATTGCTTACTATGGAAGCAGCCACTATGAATGGGTAAATGAACTTCCCCCCGAATTGCCACGGCCTGCGGAAGTATCCTTCCAGTATCCGCGGCGACTCTTCGTATCCTTCCATTGGGAATTCGAATCTTTCCCTTCACCCCGCGCAACCACGTGCGGCAAGCGCGACACGCCGTCTGGGGAGAAGATGTCAGACCCATTCCTGTATGCGTCACGTATTCTCCTTTTTTCATTGAATTTACTAGTGAGCCTCTCGTCATTGAAATGAAGTCTAGTGCTTAGCCATAATATGTTCTGACCGAATTTTCTTTTGGATAAGCTCATCAGAAGTCAGCAGAGTTGGAAAGATCGGAAGACTCTTGTGATCAGGAAATATACATAGCTGACTGCTGAGTGGAGCCCCTAAGAATTTCTTCCAAATTCAATCTTGATCATAATATAGTTTTACCTTTTTGACGATCATAGTGGCCTTGAACAGTTTTCTATTACCTGTTGACTCTATTTAGTTCATTTGTAATAATCGATCGCGAATTCCTTGGGTCATTTCCGCAGTCACAGTCGCTCGGGGAAAACGAAATGCAACAGCCAGAGGTGCCTAACGGGACGAAAAATGCTTATGCATCGGCATTTTTCAGCCTTCTGCGGTTCCCACTCATTGATGTTAGACTTGTCTGGGCTACGTTGATTAGGAAACCAGCTCGGAAGAGAAAAAGTTGCAATCACGTAATCATTCATTATGATTTCGAAGGCCGGATGCATGGCGCGTACTGGGAAAAATATAGAGGCCTACCGCTACCCTCATATTTCGATGCAGGCATCAATGACCGGATTTTCCACACCATAAGTAGACTGAATGGCGCAAATGTTGTGAAAGGAAAAAACTAAGCATTGGCGTGTACTTGTTTGGGCAAATAGCCTGTAATGGTAAACTAATGTAGTGAAATATTTCCCCACGACCAACTATAAACCCTTACGTAGGTATTCTTCGTAAAGTGGACTTTTGTCTGCGTGGCATGGGACGGAGGAGAACCGACCAAGAGGAATACTGTTTCCGTAAAGAGAAAAATGAAAATGAAGAAGTTATTGAAAGGCTGGATGTTGGAAAGCCTATCGTGTGGAGACCGCTTCGCTTAATTACCATGTACTGCGACATCAACTTAATTTACATGGTGAAGCGCTGGTCATTATACATCCAACTGATAATGTGAGCAGTAGAAGGGAGGCTTGAAGTTCGCGTTATAAAAGAAATTCTCTGACGATAAGTTTCGAACAACTACTGGCTAAGATGATCGCTACACTCCCATGCTGGTTTTAGACCTAAGGGCTGCGGTTGAATTCTATCCAAAGGATTCGAAGGTGCCGCGAAAAGTGGGCTCTGACTTGATCGCTGAAGTAACTCACTTGCGGTTCCCAGCTCATTAAATTTTCTGGTTAGATTCGCATTTCGAACTCGAAAACTTAGTGAAAAGGAGGGTTCATTCAAAGTCAGAGGGACTGTCTTCACACAACCTTCTTACCCAAAATGTTGGCCAAACCAGGAAAAAAAATTAGAACAGTACGGTATCAGTATCAGTACGTGACCCTGTTCCTACAGTGTCCTCATGGTGAAATAAAATACAGTGGACGCAGAACTTTGCAGACAACACATTCCCTTCCACGGCATGACCCTACATACATACCTGACTCACAAGGGGGGACGGTACGAACGTGCATCCGAGGATGCGCGCGGCAACTTGCGCGGCGAAGTTCGTGATGATTAGTACGACTCTGACGCCAATTTTCAGGGCACGAACTCAAAGTAGAGTAGTTTAGTAGAGTCAGATGATCCTTCTAATCTACTCAACTTCAAATTTGGGCCCCAATGATAGGCGCCAAAGTCGTTCAAATCGTTACGAACTTCGCCGCGCAATTTGCCGCGCGCATCCTCGGACGCACGTTCGTACACATACCCGACTCACAAGCTGTCACATACAAAAACGCACCGAAAGGGGACCATGGGCAAGGACACGGGTAGGAGTGTGAATGTGGTAGTCAGGGGGCAGTATAGGTGGCACTCATTCCAATCAGGATCACTCTAGGAGCNAGGATGCGCGCGGCAACTTGCGCGGCGAAGTTCGTGATGATTAGTACGACTCTGACGCCAATTTTCAGGGCACGAACTCAAAGTAGAGTAGTTTAGTAGAGTCAGATGATCCTTCTAATCTACTCAACTTCAAATTTGGGCCCCAATGATAGGCGCCAAAGTCGTTCAAATCGTTACGACTTCGCCGCGCAATTTGCCGCGCGCATCCTCGGACGCACGTTCGTACACATACCCGACTCACAAGCTGTCACATACAAAAACGCACCGAAAGGGTACCATGGGCAAGGACACGGGTAGGAGTGTGAATGTGGTAGTCAGGGGGCAGTATAGGTGGCACTCATTCCAATCAGGATCACTCTAGGAGCCGGGTTCATTCACTTAATTTCCATTTCCCTTCAATCAAACCTCTTAAGCATTTTCTACTTTGAATAACAAGTGAGTTAGGGATGTACCCAAAAACCAACTCGTTGACTTCAAAACTTGGCATTGTTCTTAGTCGAAAATTCCCAGCTTCCCAGAACAACTACTCCGAAAAGGACATAAATGCGTCAATCGCAATATCAAAAATAAACAAGGAAACCAGTAATAGTAAGCAAAACTCACATCATAAAAACTGTCTGGCTGGTTCCTATATTTCCACTTGACAGCTTGATGACAGCTTTCTGTGATGTGGACGCTGAATACGTGACTATACAGTTATGACGTCAAATAAAACTTTTATGAGGCGACGATCGATTCGAATGGCATCAGAACAACAACATTTGTAAACAATAAATCAATACATAGATCTGTCTGATTATCAAGAAGACGAGATAATCGATTGAACGTAATCCAATTTGTACCCAACCACACGAAAATGCCATTTGCCAATTGCCCTCCTTGCCTGAAACCGATCGATATGCTTGCTACGTCGAAATTTTGATCTGGGCACTTGATCTACCCTCCAACTGATCCAATTTCGGACAGGACTTTTTAGGAAGAATTTTCCCGTAGCTATGGCTAAAAAACCAGTTGTGGCCATCATCAGTACAAGTAAATGGGGGCCAACAGGGGAAACACCACTGGGAAAAATAGCAAAATACCAAAAAATTCCGCATTCATCCCCTACACATTACACTAAGCGAGCTATTCATCCTTTCCAGGCTTTCCTAACTAACTCGGAAGACCAAAGACGTTATAGTAGTTGTTTAAAGTGTGTAACATTCAAATACACCAGTTTGAATAGATGTCAGAGCATGGCTCACTCCCAAGTGAGTCCGGGGGCGTTCCATCAGATTATTTATTCATTCGATGCACTTCAAAATGTTAAGATCCAGTACGATACTGAGCACATTAACCCCTTAAACCGTTTTATGTAGATGTCAATGCAACAGAAAGGTCTACTACCCTTTGCTGACTTCACTGAGAAGCACTGCCGCTACCTCTTCAGGCCCTTCAGCTGGCTGCATTTATTATTTGACTGATGAATGACAGTGCGTTTTCTATTATGGATTTTGGTTAGACCCCATCAATCACTCTTCCATCCTTTCAAAGTCTGAGTATTCGTCTACCAATCAGCACCAAGGAAACTCCGCCCATCCATGGACGAGTTCCTCACGTGCTGGACTGTTTATGCCACATCACTTTTGTAAAAACCGGAGGTTTCAAGATGTTAAGAAAACACAGTTTGAAAGTCAGAGAGTCTTCGAACGGCTCTAGTTGAGTGAAAATAAATAAATACGATTTAGGTTGGCGCCTACATTGCTGGTGTGATTGGTTTCGCTGTGACGATAGCATTCTGTATCACGTACACCTTCTATCACAGCAGAGGCATGGGACGAAATCCTTTTCTTGATCATTTAGAGCTAGGTGAGTTTGTTCGTCTCCTTATATATGCACGTTTGTCAAACAATAGCAGGAAACTCCGCCCACCCCTTGACGAATTAGCCGTATACTGGATCAACTGAAGCATACGTACTTTTGCCACATTTTAGAAAACATTTTACTCATATCATCATTTCCCAATACGAAGTGTATTTTATAGCTAGGTGACACTTTAGAGAGGCATTGCACTTCACCCTCTTCCATTGGTTAAGGGGTGAGAGCAGTGATCCAGGGGTATGGGTACTTACGTGCGTCCGAGGATGGGNCTACTCTACTTCAAATTTGATCCCCAATGATAGGCGCCAGAGCCGTTCGAATCCCCACGCACTTCGCCGCGCAATTTGCCGCGCGCATCCTCGGACGCACGTAAGTTCCATCCCCCGTGATCCAGTCCTTGGAAATAAATACTACGCGGCGCGACAACTAGCTAATTATCGCGCTGGGTTCCTAGTGAGTTGTCGCGTCGCCCATTATGGCTGGATTTTTGGTTGGTGGGCTCGCTGCACAGCAAACTTGGAGATTCGTCATTCTGACAGATAAAAAGCTCCGCCTTCGGGGACTCACTCCGTCACCCTTTTCAATTTTGCGTGCTGCTTGTCAGCCTAAAAAGTTTCCACTAATGTTTGATCAGTCGAATTCGTCCCTCTGTGCCACTCCGTTGAGGCCTCGACATAAAAAAACTGAGTCTCTCAATCATCAAATAAACAAAATCCGTTGTTTCAGTCGATCTGATATTTGCATTCACTGTTGGTATTCCTTGTCACATCCTACTATTTTGGGCCATTGCTAAGGAGAAATTGTTCTTCAGGTGAACACCCCATTCATTACTTCTTTTTGCTCTTTTTCATGTGGAATTTGCTCAGTGATTCGACGTTTCAACAATTCTTTCAATTTGTCATTTTTAGCCCGTTTTTGGTATTCTATTTGACGAACTTCGCATTGAATGTGATTTTTACTGTGATTACGGTAGTCGCCGCTTCATTGGATCTTCATCGACAACTATTCGGCAACATCAAATACGATTTGGGATGGACGGCATTTCAGGTAGTTTTTTTTACCCAGGTATCTCTCATTCATCGTCTAGCCTTTCTGACACCTGTAAATCATCGAGCACTTCAGCAACACCACTAAGTTTTTTTCCAGACAGGCACTTCAAAGAAAAAACGAGATCCATTAGCGGAACAGTTCACATTAAGGCCATTTTAGTGACCAGGTCTGGTGATGACTATGTTAGGATAGGAGCGAAACAGGCTCTGATTAAGCTGCATTGATGTCGCCGGATTCGAACCAAAACAAAGGGGAAAGTGAACGCGAATGTCTCAGTGTCTCAACATACTTGCGGCTAACGGCCATCCATCTCAATTCCCACGGTCACAAGCACCCGTCTGTCTGCCAATCTCTCTTTTTGGTAGATGGTAGTGGTAGTAAAAGGCGCTAGCTCGTACTTTATGAGCCAGGTTAGGACGAAAACATGGACGCATCTTCCCTCGAAGCAGAAATTGCACTAGTAAGCGAGCGAGACTCTTCATTGGGGAGCCAGCAGTGACTGTACAGTCACCTGTGAGCGGTTCAGTTCAGCAAGCCCACCAAAAAGTGCACCAGATAATTCCGCACCCATCAGCTATATATGTTTTATGAGACTGACATGACAAAACTCTTCACGGGACTTATTTAGGTGTTCTTCACTGCATCACAAGGCCTTGCCATCTACGTTGTGATGCGATGTCGTAAATATGTCGCTGCCAAGATTTACTGGAGGCAACGAAATACGGAGGTTTGCGACTTTTATGCCAATCGAGCTTCTACCTCAGGTGCATCCCGGCAAAAGCAGAGGAGAGCTCGATTTGCAAACAGCAACGAGCTGAGAAAAAACCGCCTTGATATCCCAGGAATGGGAGTGATTTCCAATAAGAACTGTCCACTGAGTAGAAGTGACCCGGCACCCAGCCGGCCAACTTCTACTCAGTGGACTCAGTTCTAAATAGAAATTGCTCCCAGTTTCCCAAGCCGGACACGCCCAGGCGAACAAGTGGGTTTACATCGAAAAGTAGTGCGTCGAACATTGGGTAATCCGAGCAAGTCATTGCATAGGCAGGCTATCTAGTACCCTCTCAAGTTCGCAGAGAAAGCGAATGCATGGCGCATCCAAAAAATGACCCACTTCGATAATCCTTTTTCTAATTTTTCATGAGCTATATTATCTGATGCAGTCGCTCAATCTTTCTCATTTCAGCGTACATCCTCATCAATGGTCGCCGATGGGGTCACGATTGAATGAATGCGATACTGTCTGAAAGAACTCGAGATTCGATTCTGTATCGACCACCACGAAACAGAAACAAAACAGAAAACAAAGCCTGGATATATAATTATATGTTTCAAACAAAGATATTGATCATCACGTTGTTTTGAACATGCCAAAGAGACTAAGAAATAACCTTAACTGAGGATGAGCGAGTGTTGTAAGCATTTATGTGTTGCCCGAAGAGCCCCTTTTTTCTGAAGAAAAACTCATAACTCAGATTTTCAATGGAAAGCTACAAGACGGGACAACTATAATACCATTTGTGATGACTCATGATATCATATGAAAGGAACCAATCCCAAGTCGCAGTTCCCTTTATAAAAAACATCGCCTACCCAACTTTTACGCTTCTCTCCTTAGCGAGTATTACCTGGCGCTAGGCCCGCTGCAACCTTCCTGCAAGACCCCCCTTCCCAAACAAATTCTCGATGGCCCTGTCACTGTTTCACAGAAATACATTGCCATTGACATTAATCTTCTGAATCATTTTTGTAGCTCACTCTTGTGAATGCACCGCACCGCCGTTAACTTTCCTACAAATCCACCCGTTTCATTCAACTAACCTGCCTTCGGTCGACTTCCAAGGATGCCTGGTGGGGCTAGCACCGTAGGAAGGCATCGACGGGTTGCGAGAGGACGCCAGGTGGCAATGGACTGTCGACAACTCTAGCCCACTGTCATTCACTGGCTTCGCTGTCCCTCAACACCATTGCCGATTGCATCTCATGGCCTGGAGCATGGATGCCACAGTTTCTAGGGGAGGTTGGAACTTCGAACGCAATCTGTCTGAGCTTGATCGGGGACCGGGTCTAACCATAGGTCGTTCCTAATGTTGCAGGTTTATTTTATACCTTACAGAATGCAGATTCCTCTTTCTATTTTTGTGTGGAAAGAGTACGTCAACGCAGTCGTATTATTGAGTTAGGCGTTCCAGTGATATGTAGATTGAACTCTCGTACATCTATCGGAATTCATCCTACAACCCTGAGATCCGTACGTAGGTCCAGGACAAGCAGCTCTACGCGTTCAGTGGACTTCGAGAGGGACGGAATACCTCGATGTATTACGGTGATACACTATTATGACATTGCGGAGCCTGACTCCACGACACAGATCACTCCACTCGGACCGCCGCCCGGAACGCACAACCAAGCTTTACTCCAGCATATCCTTTTGAACAGAAAAAACGAGATAATTTGACGTTAATAAACCTCACGCCAAATGTGCCTTAACATTAAGTCCCCATTGAACTTGGGAAGGTGTGGTTGTTGTTGAATTTGTAACAAAAAAATGACTTGGACTATGAACCATCGAAGTGCTAAGTTCCACCAAAGTTGCCGACATACGTGTCTATCGACATATCTGCAAAATTTTACCAAAACACACGTACAAATTTGATTTTATCATGAAAGCTTGAGAATATAATCACTTAACAGCATTATTTAGAAGCATAATAGCAGTAAATTCCACCGGAATTACATTTTCTCATTTAGTGTTAACGAACAATTCAACGAGTCGAGCGACAGCAAATTGACCATGAGTATCAAAGGAAAAACAGTAGAAATTTGAAAAAATAGGTTCAAAAGAAGAACGGTATGACCTAATAGGGCATGCTAAGGCAACTAAAAATGGCCGCAAGCACAAATGGTCACAAAAGAATACACATTTTACAAGAAAGGAAAAAATATTTTCTTAAACTTTTTCTGTGGAACAGCTGTTCAGGAGTAGGATTGTAATGGGATGACTGCCACAATAAGAAAGAATTTTTGGCTATACAGGCAGATTCGAAGGAAATGACCACAGCTAGGAAGTGACTGAGAAAGAGAATGGGAGAAGGTACAAATCAACTGTCATGCGTGCTATTGCGCTTTATAAATCCCGTTCAGTTCAACTGAATTCCCTATCCCTTCCTACATACCACTGATCATCAGGCCTTCCTGTCGTACAAGGCTTTGAGAAGGTCTTTTTACACATGGATACCGCCAAGATTCTACGGAATAGTCAAAACCATGGCTTATGCCAAAGTTTTTAAATAATACTGAGCATTGGCTAGGAGAAATGAAAGAACCGAAACTGAGAAGATTAGCGATATGCACTAACACCCAATCACAACGAGACAGAGTGAAACTCCTACTTGTTTTCGCCTTGCCGCCAAGCGAAGCGTATGGATACAAAAGGAATGAGCAATCGTTACCTATTCTTATGAGGAGAAAGCATTAGAAAACACATTTAAATTCACGGCGCACAACGATATCCTAGAAAGGACCAATGAAAAATCGCAACAAAAACTCAACAAAAATTGCATATCACAACAAAAACAAAGGACTGGGTCACTAGTAGCCGTACTCACTACAATTTTGGCTTTCCAGTTGCAGAGCCTATAAGATCTGCAAGCATACGAGCCGTATATCGTCGTAAAGGATTCGGATTTAAACAGTGGCTAAGCACTTCGAAAGCAACTCGCTCTGCACCCTCCAATTGGCCCATAGACTCTCGTTCCGAATGTTTGCCTAGATACAGAATTGTTCAGTTTTATAGGATTTCGGACAAAATAACCAAAAATCGAGTACTGTCCGAGGTGACAGTTGAATGTGGTTGTAAAACTAAATTGAAACGTACAAAAACAAAATCCTGAGTTGTTCTGATAGATAAGCGTCATACACGCTCTGCATCCAGGCTTGCAATTCTCTGCCTCACGAATGTCCTTACCGAAATTGTGAGCCTAAACCACTTTTTCGTATAAAAAAAACGAGGATTCAAAGAAATATCAATTATGAACTCTTTGTTGTGATTGGTCAATAAATTTCTCATCTGGGAAATGACTTTACGGTGGTGTACTAGGCTATGAAACTCTTTCGTTTCTTCATGGTTTAGACTAAATTTGATTTTTATAGGCCTGGAAGTATCCAGAGATTCTCGTTCGTGAGCTTTATATTCAAAGGCCTCACAGCTACAATTACTTCTATTTGATTAGTATGAGCAGCTTACCAATAGCTCCAATCAAGAAGAAGATATTTGCCCAGTAATCAATTTAGCATGATTGAATAAATAAACACAAAAAACTTAAACATCGGCAGACAGATACATAACTTCAAGCGCTTTTGGACGGGTGACTGACTTTAAATGTTGGTCAAATGAAGCGGTTCCATCTCGACCAAATCGAGTGGACCAGAGCAGAAACAGTCTTGTAGCTGAGGAGTTACTAGCACGGGAGTGATTTCCTTCCAAAAAACATAAAGGCTTCAAACTGATAGACTCAAACTCACAAGTTTCACCATATCCATTCCTGGTAGTGGAGGATCACAAAGCAACGTTACGCCACACTCTGCGGCAGCCTGTAATTAGAATGAAATACGTTTTTGACTGGAACGATTAAACTGCAACTATTTAACTTTAACTTAACTAACTACCTACGCACAAAGAGAAAAAAANAAAAAAACAACAATATTATCCATTTCCTATATTGATGAAACTAAAAATAGCAGCTGTAGAAACCATGATAATTACATTAGTTATAGAGTCATATTCATGATAATTAGTTTTGTAGAGATTTCAGGTAATGCATAAAGCATGAAGTGAGTGTTGAACAAGCAAAATTTCAATGAGCGCCCTTAGCTTGAACAGTAGCGGAAGAAAGAATGAGTTGCACAGTTTCATGGAGTGTTCGTATGCTGACATCATGTGTAAACACTGGACTTTGATAGAAAATTTTCGGGGAAAAGCGCCATTCTAATGGAAGCCCAGATATTAAACAGTCTTAATGATAAAGATAACACAGACATATTAAACAGTGAGGCATACTAAACAGGTTAAAATACCTCTACTAGAGCAGTACTGCCAAGAAAGGTAGCCATCTGTGCCAAAGCTTCGACGTCGTTAGCTGGACGAAACACTGGATGTCTGAATGAAGAAAAGAGAGTAAGTCCAAGACATTCTACAAATACACAGATGATGATATGATAGAAAGGCAAAAATAGAAGAGTGCACTGAATAAACGCGAGAAAAAGACAAACAACTGCAGGAAATAAGGAGCTCCCAAAAACAGTTACATAGCGAATTCAGCAGTAAGCATAGCAAACTCACTTTTTCAAGAGAAAGGACAGCATTGTCACCCCTGCAGCAAAAATATCTATTTCTGTTGTTTGCTCATCGAATCGTAACAAAATTTCTGGTGCTCGATAGCCTGGTGTTCCAGCCTACAAGAAGTTTCTTTCGAAAAGAAAACTCATGCAAAAGAAACCATCGACGGCAAAAATTTGATCATTTTACCTTATTGACATGCTTAGCAGGAAGTTCCTTGCATACATCACAAACTTCAGCAAACGATGTGCACCCACACTTGGGATGTTTGATGAAAGGTGGGCGCGTGGGCATTAAGACATCGTCACTGAGTCGTTTACAGCGTTTCTACAAGTAAACTCTAAGCAACATAAAAAAGTTCGAGAGAAAAGCCTACAGTAGCATTTTAATCATAGAGTGGTAGCACTGAATAGATTCAGGAAAACTTTTAAGTTCAGGATTCCATCTTGGTGATTTGGGAGCAACGATGGAATGAATTGGACATCAAGTGCAATACTTTTTGAAAACGACCATGTAAACAGTATGAGCACCGAAAAGAGTCGGAAACTTACTGCTGGCGGTGGATCGATTGGACTTGAAATAACATTTTCTTTGATTGAAGGCAAATTATCAGTAGAACTCTTCCGTGATGAGTTTGAAGTGACAAAATGGGACAAGCCAAAGTCTACAAGAAGGTACCTGAACAATGGCCAGTATGAACTGACTGAAAATAAAGCAATACAGAAATGATTAATTCTACCCGTCATAGAAACAATGTTAAGAACATCTAATAACACCTGCAGCCTCACTTAGACAAATATAAATTTAGCTAGGTCATCATCGCCGAGATGATGGGCAGGCGACTAGTCAAAGACCTTGGGTAGCGTAGTCAACGAGGAATTTATTTCGCCTTCATCACTGTTTACTTATATTACTCCACAACGAGTATCAGCCAGTATGGGGATTATTCCCATAATCCGGTGAGAACGCTGTTTTTGTTCAATAAGCAACCATCAAGTGAGCAAGATGCGCTCTTGCTTTTGCTCAATCATCTAGTGGTAGCACCTGTATGTTACCTGCTTCAGACGTCCATGGCATATCTGCGACCCTGACTGTTTCAAGGGAAACAGCGCCTGCTTCTTCCAACCAGGAGCTTTCAATAAGAACTAGCCTTCTATCAGCCACTAACACTGATATTATGTTCATTATAATTAATCGCTGTTGCGGTACCAAATAGCGCATTATAACGCACGCATCCACCATGAATTTCCCCGGACCGACGAAGCCCTATCATTGCGGGCACGGCTGAGTGATATCAGCCTTATCCGGATGTACAAAAGTACTGCCTATATACCCTTCTCAACTCACTGTACATATTGAATAGACATTTACATGTCATTGCGATTTTCGCGCTAGACGTCAAATGCGTGGGCGTGCCCCTCGAATTTGTCAGGCCAGGGAAACTTGGCCCATTATCTTTTAAGTGTAATGGCTGACCTGCGCTGGGCACGATTGTACAGGAAGTTTGCAGGTTTAATATCTCGATGAATCACTCGGTAACGATGGATGTGATGGAGTGCAACAAAAAGATTCCGCATGTATTCAAGGGATTCTTCAAGAGGAATTTTGTGGATAAGGCTCTGAAAAGAAAGAGGAATGGAAAGTACTTTCAAACAGAACTAAGTGAACATAAGAAATGAGTCTACAATATGAATACTCACAAAAATATCATCATGTGGGAAGTAATTCATAACTACAAACACCCGATCTAGTTCCCGATATGCCGCAATGAATTCGACAACATTTGGACCTCCAGATATCGTTCGCATGACCTAAAATGTCTTCATTTTCAGCGCGATTAACAATAAAAGGTAGATGGGTATATAAGAGTTAAGCCAGAAAGTGGCACCAAACTGGGGTTGAAAACTGAACCGTACAACAGATCCCTTCTCCAGAAAACCACTTCGGTTGATTTTTTGTGAGACCATTTCAAGCTACCAGGCCCGAAATTATTTGAGGATTTGAAAAAAAAAAGGCCGAAGGCGTCTAAAAGCACACCTTTAGCTCCATCGCTATATGTTTCGGATTGAAGCCAGGTGCGGGAACTTTCAACGCGAACAACTGTGCTGGTTTCTTGCGACATTCAACTGTCCATACTTTTCCGAATGAACCTGTATCAGAAATTTCGATCAAAAATAACAAAAAAGTACGAATGAATACACTTCGAAGGGATGAAAAGATCAGAAATCACTGGAACGTCAAACCTGCTCCTAAAGGATCTCCTACAACGAAGTTGTTGGTGATCCATTTCGATCGATATACGATATCAACTCGCTTTTTCCCAATTAATGGACGTTGACTCGATAATGGACGACGATTTCCTATCATCGCACTCACTTTACTCCGAATAATTTACATGGAACTCCTAAAACACATAATAACTACTGCTCAAAAAAGAGTCGAAAAGAGAGTTCTATCAATGTGAAAACATGCACAAAAAGAAAGTCGGGTAAATTTTGGACTAGAAACATTTTGGTAACAGGATTAACTATATTTTCAAAACAAGGCTGTTAAATGTTTATTGACAGCAACAGGTAGTAGTAACGATAGAGTAAACATAATAAGAAGAAAATTTAGCGTACCTTCTAACTACTGCACACTTCAACTTAGAAACATTCAAGACATTGAACAAAGAGACGCACATCCGTTTGAAAAAAAAACTTATCCTTAAATAAGTAGTACTGTAGCGTTTGAGTTATGGTGTAGCGCACACAAAACCCTTAAGTACACGTCTACGCAGGCATTTATGTATTGTATCACTTGAGGCTGAATTGTCTGGAGTGGAACTTAGCATTAGACTTTACGCACAGCGAGTCTCACCCATTGGGCCCAAGGGAGGGAGGCTCAAGAGAGGAATAGGCCTGGCGTAGCTGAACTGGTTAAACAACTGCCTCTATTTACTCCTGAAGTACTTTTCCCATCTTACAATTCGGATTCCCTGGCCTCGTATTCCCAGACCGATTTCCAAGAAGCTAGAAACGTAATGACTGGGGAAAAGGGTTGAACACAAACGTTCCTTGACACTCATCAGACCGTGAACCACTCTTTTGCCTTCCGTAAACAATTCTCCTCCCTTTAGTTAAAAGGCCAATTGAGCTGCCCGTCTTCTTTCATAGCCCTTTCAAAACGTTGTCCCAGCACAACGTTTAACTTATTAGCTTTGTTTCAGTGCTCCAGGATTTAGACAGAAACCCTGGGTTGAAGGGATCTTTTTCCGAGGTGCTTTATCTGACGTCTCTCGCACCAAACAATGGTTGGGGAGAAAGTAAGGTTAGGTAGACGAAAAGGGCAGGACTTTATCTTCTTCCTGACCCACTGGATACATGTATAGGAACCACAGGATAGGATGTTTAGCTTCCTCGTACTGAGAGGAATCAGAAAGTTTGAAACCGTCGCCATCGATTTGAACGTTCAGTTCTGGGCGTGTTGAGCGGCCTGTTGGGGGCAGCTTATCTCTGGAGATAATCTATCTTATTTCAACCCTTTGTTTAAAGTTCAAGTAAGTAGTAGTAGCGTTTTCAGCGTTGCATACATGCGTAAACTGCGTGGACGGAAAAGGAAGCTCGAAAAATTTAGAACCTCTTCACATCAGCTCATCTTCGTACCACGTCGAAAATGCGCTGATATAAAGAATATCCCATTTTTTGAGTTTCTTGCTTTTTTCTCCTTTCAGATGCCACGGCTAAGCAGTCCTCAAGTGCTGAAGTTCTCATCAAACTTGATGTCTTCCCCTCCTCAGTTGTGCTCTTAAGTACCTCTCACCTTCTCCCTGAGCCTGGATTTGCCCCGGACGCTAAGGGTCCGCTCTCAACGGTACAATCCAAAGGGACGTTACTCGGCTCCGTACGGTCCGGAATTTCATAGCTGTCTCTGGTAGTGAGACGATTCCCTCGCCCCCACACTCCCNTCTGGATATTAAATGGATAGTGTTTAACCCCTCATTCCTATTCTAAACTTTCACCATTAACTTTTACCCTTTTAGGCGAACTTATCATTACTGCTAACTAATACAACATTCTCGGCAGGGTGAAAAAAAAGTTTTCATACCATTTAATTCGAACAAATGATAAATCTACAATTTTGATGTGCTCAAGTACTTCGTGATTAGGAAACATGCAATGATTTCTCTCCAATCGCAACAACCATCTGCCCCTTCTAATCTTTGACGCTTTTCAAGCGCTTAATTCTTGCTCTTAATGTTTTTGCTTTCTTTTTCCGTTTAGGCCGTTCGTCGCCCATAGTGACTTCAATTGACGCCAATGTGGCAGCTGTCACCGCATCACGACTCTGAAATTTACAGATTTGTTTGATGTATATTTATTTATTTATTCTATTTTATTTTTTTATTTATTTTCTAATGTTTGATGCGTATTTGAGCCTAGTGTAGGAAAGCAATCTTTGAAAAGTCGCAAAGCATTTCCGGAGTCAACGGATTGAACCCTCCCCGATAATCCAAATTTCCCGTTCCGTCGAATTTTATTACCCGGTCGAAACACCATCAACATAGCAGGCCGCCTACTTCACGCTATTTTAATAAAGTAGAGAAGCATCCACAGACGCCCCCCGATTGTGAGTGGAAGTCGATGGCATGGCGCATCCAAAAAGAATCAACCAAGCCCGTCCGGTGTCTTGACCCTTCCACCAGTGACAAATACGGATTGAATGGATCTTTCACCAGTGAAAAAACGAAGATAAAGTAGTCGGCATTGACCAATACTGTTACGTTGCACCATACAATCATCATCCCCACAGAATCATGGAAGCGTTGGGACGGAGATTTAATTCACATATTGCGCGGAAATCATATGTGAACTGTTTTTTCATGGACAGTAACAGTACAATCATCCTTGAAGAGCAAATTTGGTTCCGTGGGTAGTAACCCATGCGAAAACGGAATCTCCAAGGTTCGGTTACCTGCGCTCCCAAAAATAGCAACATTTCGAAAATTTACCTTTTTCTTTCTTAAGCAAACTTTATCAGGTGCGTGTATGTCTCCTTGTAGATATGCATCCGGAAACTCATTCGCAACATCAAATAGTGTATCAGATACCTGTATCAAAAAGATATTGTTTTCAAAAAGAATGATTAAAGACTATCAAAGAAAATATGCTCAAAAGTGGTTAAGCGCAAAGGATATACTCAGGTAGCGCGAAATTAAACGGGTCCTGAACGACCAACTGTATCTATGAGCTGTCTTTAGTAGAAATGAAGGCAATTCATAGCGCAGTGAAGCAGAAAAAAATTTTGGAAATCGCGTTCTATTCTCTCGGCCCATGGGAAGATATTGTCGGACGATATTGGCGTGAATAACGTGCAGAAAGAACTTGATATCTTTCATTGCCCTAGCTCACATTAACTGCTTTCATAGTCCGCTGGCGTGCCGGCGTGCGTGCCGGCGGGGCAGTGCTAGAGGGGAGGAGGGAGGCAGACAGTGTAAGGCAAACGAAGGTTGTTTGTTTTCAACCCCTCGAAGGGGCGTGGACTGTTTGCCTATCTGTCTGCCTCCCTCCTCCCCGCTAGCACTGCCTCCGCCGGCACGCCGGCCGGCCGGCGGACTACGAAAGCAGCCATTTTTGGACGAGGAGTTCTGTAATTCCCCAAGCCGGTCTGCGACAAAGTGTAATGCTCCCAAGAGCATCAAGTGGTATGTGGCATTACGATATTCACTAGTGGTGAAAAAAATGGATTGGCGGCTGTAGGGGCTAGTTGAGTGTGGTCAGTTGCAGTTCCACTCTTAGCAGCTCAGTCTATATCCAGGACCGGATTCACCCGCGATCCGAACCGTACAACAGTGGTTAAGTACCACACCACAACCTACATCGAGTATGTCGCCTTCATTTGCAAAAGGATTGGCCATCTGAAAAAATGCCTCGACATTCAAGTGGGGTTTCTTATCTAGCTCCGTGATGAATGCGTGTTCCTGGTTCTCCAACATGGGCAGCATCGTTCTGTAAATATTCACTATCCAGTGAATGTCAAGAGTTAGGAATTGTACTCTATAAAACGTGAAAACTAAGATAGAGCCGCATGTAGACATTTCCGCTAGACACTTTCTCTACTGCTGTGGATTCCGTACATAACTGAACACTCTCAGTTTGAATATTTTCAGAGGCGATGGAGCGTAATAATTTCAGCGCCCCTATTCACCATTCCGGGACCAAACATAAAAACCAGTCTCCAAGCAGCGTAAGTGACAGTGGCTCACTGAGAGCTACGAAATTATCATTTGTTAACATAGAGGATTGTGACTTAGGGAAAATATTCTACGCGTCAAGCGATGAAAGTTGGCCGATGTCAAACACCAGTACGGGAGAGAGCGAAAGAAGCGGAAAGGTAGTCTGCAGGAACCAGTGTACATATGGTGCAAAATGTCCTTATGCTGGATGGACTATGGGTAGGGACCCAAATAGGAGTCTCAGTGAAATCAGGTCTTCATGCCCTGCGCCTTCAGCCGATTGTGACAGGGTGTCTGGAACTATACCGGAAAGCTGCAACGCAATTACTCTACGAAGCGAAAATTGTTTTTTCTAAAGAAGGTTTTGAAATGGGGAAATCGCTCATAACGTTATGAAAAATGTAATGTTCTGAATATCAGAACTTGATAGGACAAAAATGGAAACGTAAAAATTTGGTCACTCCAAAAAGCTTTGCAAGACAGGCTATAGGGCAATAGGAACAAAAGGATATTGCCAGAGGTTGAATGAGAAAAACTATGATCTTCATGTTTTCGTTTGCTGCACAAACATCAACTTACGAAGCCTTTTGCTCCACTTTCACTTCTTGCGGTACTTTTTCCATATATACAGAACCATTTTTACTTAATTCATTATCATCCTGTGTGATTTCACATCCCATCTTGAGGTCTTCCAATGTGAGCCTTTTTCTCTTTATCTTCGGTTTCTTTTTCGGTTTTTCTGCTCTCGTGTTTTCATGTTCGTCTATTTTACCTCGATCTATAAATACAATAACTTACTAAGTATGTTAGAAGTTTTAAAAAGCGACTGAACATCAAAAAAGAGGCTGCGTTTTCGTTTAGTCGACAGCGAGAACGAGGGACGTTAGCAACAATCAGAGGGAAAATCAACTTGGTGCAGGTGTAAAAAGAGCCGCACCGTTGGCCGCTGTAGATTCCACTCAGACTCCACTAGATTCCACTAAACCCAGATCAACGATGGCTATACTCTTCGATCCATAACAGCATATCACCCGAATGGGGAAGCTAACGATTTGGGATCCAAGAATATTAGTGGAGTAGCGAAGGTACCACAGCTCATGCTCGATTCTTTGATCCAATGGTTCTTCTTATTCCAACTACAATTCGAAGATTCGAAGAGCGGAACCCTCCATAGGCAGAAAAAGTGTGGGACCAACTTTATTCAACAGACCGCTGAAAACGCGCATTTGGAGTTATCCGATATAGGGAAAAAGCGAAAATGTGAAGTTCCGTTTTTCGTGTTGCTGCCGAAGTATTGAAGGTCCGGTAGGCCGAGCATGCAGTGTGTACCGAATCGTCGGAATGGATTCGCTACACAGTGGATGCCTTGGAATATCAGTTGAATCAATCGTTGGCTGGAGTGTTAGCTCTCTGCTTACCTATGTTGCATTGAAGGCAAAGTTCACAATTAATTGGTTTCCAAAATTTCTGCTTATTGTAGTCAGCAGTACGCAATGGCACACTTACATATATGGACAGCTTGACCAGTTCCAACTTTTCCATTTTCTTCAGAACGTTTGCACTATTCGGGACTATCACTTCTATTACCTGCCTTCAACTAGATACCCCAAACTTATCGCGAACTGTGCCTTTAACGGAATGATGACTTTCGAGCTTTTCAGAAGAATTCAATGGTCAGCGACGTTGCTAACAGTTTGGAGTCCTTAATGGCACCCCATTGCAGGCACTTCGATGACCAACGGGAATACATGCAATACTGTCGAATCACTGCGGCCACAGCCACTGAAGATGATGTTGAGAGTGGTTTATCAAGATTTTAATCGGAGGGAAATCTCGATTTCTTCAGGGTAGCTCATCACTGAACTGAAACGTTCTTTATACTGATCATCCAAAACTTTTTGTTTTCGTTCATTCCTCCAAATTCTGTAGGGCTAGAAAATTCTACGGAAAAGCTGAACGCTGGTTAAGCATTTTTCTTTAATAATCATAGTAACGACGACCTTACTAACAGATAACAGCATTGACAGTTAAGGAACCACTTACTTATCTTCGTAGTTTTCTTAATGTTTTTCTTTTGTTCGATCATGCACAATGTTTCTGACACTTCACGCCGTGTAGACTTGGCTCGCTCCGGTTGCTTTTCTTTAGTCTGAAACCCATCAGAAGCATTGTTAGGATCTGACAACTGTGATAGAATTGCTGCGCAACAGCCTCAGTTGGAACGGATGACTGAAGTTGAAGATTTTCTAGGAAGTTGATCAAAAGACTTATGACAACGATCTAATGCGGCTCACACATTTCAAACGATCACCGCCCAGCACTTCAACAATGGACAGGCGATCTGCCTACAGAAAACTCTGAACCAGGCAGCCGGAAAAGAAGGGCTGATTGGTCAGATCCAAAGCTGATTATCATAAACCATCCATAATCACATCAGTTCTCACTAATTTAATCAAAAGCGACGAACATGGTCAACACTATTTATATTTCATTCCGATCCATCTGCTAGCTCTGCGACCCGAGCACAAAATGTGCAACTCGTCGCCTGCTGTAGAAGATGCAGTCGTGCTTCGATAGTTGGCCGCCTCAACGAAAAGTTTCCTTGCCTTGCAAATACTCAATCCTCTACATTACTTGATCATCACTGGAACTCTGATAGAAGTCTGTGGCACGAACGAGTCTCTCACCCTGTTCAACCACAGCACCTCTTTCGTAATAGCGACTCCCGTGCAGTTTTGTTGTTGGCGTTTCCTCGCCGTAGCGATCGTCTAGGGATGGCTAATAGATGAAATTGCATGGGGTATGGGTACATTCGCCCAGAACTGGATGGACGCGGCAAACCGCGCGGCGAAATTCGTGGTGATTGAACGGCTTTGGCGCCTATCATTTGAGCACGGGTTTCAAGCAGATTAGTTATGTAGGGCCAGCTGATGCTTCTTATCTATCCCACTTCAAATTTGTGCCTCAATGATAGGCGCCAGAGTCGTTTTGAACACCACGAATTTCGCCGCGCGGTTTACCGCGTCCATCCAGTTCTGGGTGAATGTCCCGTCCCTCAATTGCATGTGGTCCACTGTTCTTTAGGAGTATAAGCGGATGCAAATAATATAAGAAAATAGACATCAAGCTTTGTGCAGTGGTCACTACAACCAGTTCCAAAGCTGCTGTACCAACGGACTGTTCTTCTTACTTCTCAATTGCTTCGGCTGCATTTATTATTATGATATGATGTCTCGATCATGTTATAATAATAGATGTATGATGCTGTGGACAGCTGACAGACAATATGCTGAGCTAATTGACCAATCATGGGTTAGGCTTACCAGCGTCGTGGGAACAGTTTACTACACCAAGGGTAACCGATAAGAGCCAGAGATACTCTGGAAAGCTGGACCTCGTGTGGATGCCTCCCCTCCGTGTTCATAATTTCTGATTGTCTTACCAGTTAGACTTTCACTAGACTGTCATGCTTTCTACAGTCTTGTGGTTTTACTAGAGGATTTGAAAATGGTTAAGATTTCCGGTCATGAGGTGTAGATGGTCAGTGAACTAGGGTCATGTGGATGAGACATAAGCAGAGGCGACCCCGAAACATCTACACTTTTTGAAGGAAGCCAATAGGGTGTTCATAAAGTTCGTTGGCCATTTGTAAACAGCGTCGCGTTACGCAACGCGTTGTGATTTTGCATAATGATTTCTTAATAGTGAAAGTACTCGCGATGGGCTATCTTCTGAGCTAACTAGCTCTAAATTCCTTTCCAACTCTTCCCAAAATAAAGCAGTGAAGATGAGTGAGACGCCGGCACAGGCAAGGGAGCGGGTTGAAGTGTGTTTCGACGACCTCAGACTCAGAGGCTTGAGGAAGATGCTGGATTACCTCATTTGCCAGGATGATAACTGGGTCTACTACTCTAATCCTGCCAACAAACCAGTCTGGGTGGATTTCGAAGCGCCCTCGCCAAGCCATGCAATGAGAAATATGCATGGAAAGAAGCGCCTTCCGTCATTCTGGTTCTCTCGCCACGGCGTCGTCCACTACAGCTTCCTACCCAACAATGCCACAGTGACGGCAGACACCCTCTCTAAAGTATTGCACGAGTTCAAGGTGAAGCTGCCGCCATGTTCCAGAAACTTGCAAATCCGTGGTTGCTCCGGGACAATGCGCGCCCCCACAAAGCGAGAGATACTCAGGCCGTCCAGGACAGGCTGAGCATCAAGACGGTCACGTATCCACCGTATAGCCCGGACATCGGTCCATGCGATTACCACATCTTCCGGCCCATGCGAAATTTCTCCGACGGAAAACAGCTAAAGAACGAGCGCGACCTAGAGGACGTGATCGAGGACTGGGCCAAGTCGCGACCGGCCGGCTTTTGGGAGGATGGAGTTGCCTCTCCGCCCGTTCGTTGGCGAAAGATGCTTGGAGACTATATCATAGACCAGTAAGTCCAACTTGGTGAATTTTCTTCTCAAGCTCTGAAAAAACGAATGGCCAAAGAACTTTATGGACACCCAATACATAAAGAAGTTTCCCTACAGACATCCACAGTTCAGCACGGTGCTCGGACGACGTTTTTGAATTTGAGCACATTTCTACAGATCGATATCCGTCTCTCAAGTTAAGGAGTAACCGAAAACAGTAGCAGAACTTATTCATAAACAGCTTGTCTTCGATAGGAGAGCGAGAAGGTACTTCATACATTACTTTTTGACCGTTCAAACTGCTGTAGGTTGAATTGTGGCTACGTCCTTTTCGGTGATACGCAGTGATAGTAGCTCGGTAGAGTGAGAATGTAGTGCGGGTTGATCGCTCCACCGTGCGGTCTCTTTCACCAGGTGCTAGTGTATGGAGGAGGATGGCCAGGTTTGCGGGGTTGAGAAGTCTTTCTCGGCTTGCAACGGAGTCTTTGGCCTAAACGTGAGCAGGTGATAAACGCGGTGGTAGGTATGATTCTGATCTCGTGCAAAACGCCGTAATGTGAAAGGATGGTTCGGCGATGAAGAAGGTTGGCGCCTCATTTAACAGCTGCGGTTTTGAGCACTTCCACTCAATAGCTTTTCTGGCAGGATAAAAGTCTCCAAATTCAAACTAGTCAGGCTACTATAAAAGAACACTCACTTTTGTTGGAGTATTTGCAACTTTCTTTTGCACTAATTTGTTCGCTGCAGGTGAACGAGGTTTCTCATTGCTTGGTGGCTTCTGCTCTACATGGGGCTTCGGAGCATTCTTCTCGACCGGAGCATTCTTTTCGACTTTTTGCGCTTTTTTTAAATGTAATTTTGTTCGTATAGAAGGACGAGTGAGTACTGAACCCATTAATACCTAAAAAACTAAGAAATGAGACTCACTTAACTGGTTGTTTTGGCGTAGTTCTTATCGGTACTGATTCCCGCTTCCACATCAGTATGCTTACAGAACCATTGAATACTACTGAAGTTGTACAGTCAAACGACCAAAACAAAGAGCAAGAAACGAGCTATCGTATTACCAGAGCCTTTTATTACAAAGGGTAGATTATGGACTACTTCAATGCATGTTAAGTGCTTCATCCACAGGAAAAGTAAGAGGCGTGTAAAAAAACTGCATCACGACTTGGGAAGAGTGATGGACAGAGGTTTTTTGGAGACCCGACCATTGACCTTCACTTGCGCTACATACTAGACGCTGAAACATCACTGAGAACCCAACTACTTGATGTTCGGTTTCAATCGAAGCTTCACAATCACCTGAATAGACGACTAATCAGTATTGACTTTATAGCTGCAGTGAATGACCCCTCACATCGTTGAGTGAGCATGGTCGCAGAAGCCAAAGAAGGAAGAATATCACTTTCACCCAACATGCATGTAGTGTTCTTGCAGAATTTAACAAATTCCGTTACAACCTCCAATGAAAGATGTTTCACCACTTGCTCAACAACAAGTTCGATCAGGAATGTGCTTTTTTATCTCATTTTCTACAATGCTTCACAGGAATGGAAAATAGAGAGTATACACTGTGCTCGGCTTTCGTGAGGAAGTCTGACCATCCCGTTGGCGACCGTCCTGGGCGATCCAGTCAGTAATCGGAGCCGGATGCTCATCGTTTTCTTGATGTTCTTAAATGTTCCCTACGCGACGCGTTTCCTTCTGCACAGCTCCGGAGTTAGGCCTTTCATCATATTGACTTCCCGACCTAGATACACATACAGTAGCGCTCAAAGGTATTCTAAACGCTTTCGCGATTTTTCGTTCATAACTTTTTTCTCCGTGGAGCAAATCACGCGAAATTTTGATGTCTAACTGAAGCAGACCATCCATAGTGCACACCATCCAACTCTGTTTGACGGCAAAGCAGCAATATCCACATAACTGGGAGCAGAGTGTTTTTGCGGTAGCAAGATCCTTTGAGCGAAGTTAGTGACGTCCGCAGTTATTCGCACCTTATGTGCATAATTCCTCTATACTGTGTTCGGCATTAGCGCTCGTACACTATTCACAATACACCCATGCTACACATATCAAAATTTTGCATGATATATCGAGTAGGGAAGAAGTGACGACCGGAAAGTACAACTGGAGAAGCATTTCGCTGATGACTTTTGAGTGCTACTGTAGTTAGAGCATTCGGAAATATTTTTTTCGTTTAGCGTGAAGAGAGCATCTGGTATCAATCCGTTCTTCATGAACATCGTCTTCGTTCAATTCAGTCTCGAGCCGATCTTTCCACAAGCATTATCAAACTCAGCCAGCATTCGTTCCACCTGCTCGATGTTCAATGTTATAATCAAGATGTCTCCTGCAAAGAGGAGGTGATGTAGGTAGTGGCCGTTGACCTGCACTCCCAAGTTTTCCCATTCCAAATGACACATGATACTTCGAGAGCGGTCCTGAAAAGTTTGGGCGAAATGGTATCGTCCTGCCGAACACCTCTTTTCACGTTGATAATGACATCCTTGTAGAATGGGGGAACCCTGATCGTAAAGTTGTAAATAGTAGAGCTCACGAAGCATCCTTATATATTGGGGATGCTGCCTCTGCCATGCCGTCTGGCTGCCCAGTGCTCCAATGACCACCTCTGTCTCAACAGTAACAAAGACTTTCTTCAAATCCGATGAGCTTAAGACATAACGGCATTTTCTACTTCCGCGATACTTCAGTAATTTGCTGTGCAATCGATTGTGGTGAAACCTCTCCAAAACCAGGCTTGTTCGCATGGTTGTCCTTCATCTAATGTTCTGCGTATCCTGTTGAGGATGACGCGAGAGAAAAGCTTATAGATTACAGACAGCAGGCAGCCTGGGCGATAATTGCCAACGTCGTCTGGATCTCCCTTTTTATACAGCAACAGTCTTGCTAGTTTTCCACGACGTGGGCACTTCGCATTCCGACAGATACCGCGTGAAGAGCCTAGTCAGAGTTCTGACGATGAATGGTGGAAGACTCTTCAGATGTTCTGGTTTGAATCATCGGGACCGGGCGCTGTGCAGTTCTTCATCGACGTGATGGCATGTCGTGTGTCGGAAGGGAGATCCAAGGGAGCGATATATTCGTCTTCCTTAAGATGGTGGGTAGGCAGGTAGACGTGGCTGTCGAGGAGATCGGAGTAGAAGTCGTAGATGACCCTTTCGAAATGCAGTAACTGTTCCGTCAGGACGGCGAAGGGAAGT